GCGGTTCAGTGGGGGTCTTACCTTTGTACAATAAAAGTAATATTTAACAAAAAAACACGCTTTTATCAAATGTACAAGTAATGGAAGGACTCCACGACTCCAGGAAGTGGTCCCGAAGCTTGCCCTAACGTAAGGGGACCCGTGGTGATTTACAGCCAACGTCAGTTGACCGTGGACAATTAGACCCATAAGTATGCCAGGTTTGCAGTCGATACCACATTGGGAAGTGGGTTAAAATTGAGTTACAAGATTTGAGGAAACAACAACAGACAGAGTGAGTTAAAAGAAAGCGTGCAAAAAATAAGAGTTTAGTTTGGGTTTTATTCTGGCTTTTTTATGAGCCTCCTTACAAGGTGACACGACCTCCCTGCTCGTTGTTGGAAGGGGTTCGTGGTTTGAATCAAGCGGCCGCCCTGATTATCACTGCGGGTCTAATAACAGTGCCATGATAATGATGATAATAATGATACTCTACGAGCCGTCTGCTTCACAGCCAACGCTACAGATCCCCTGACATCATTTGGAAGAGGAGGCCATTTGTGTGCCACCAGCGCCAGATATCCACGTTTGGCTAATTCGAAAACGACACGGCAAATTACTCAATTGAAATAAAAGACAAAGATCCCCCATATACTCTTACGAAGGCCGACACGGCACATGGGTGGGTGGCCAGCACCACGCCCGGCTGCCTTTGTCTCCCCAGCGGCGATGTTTCACACACCGCACCAGGTACTCATTTGAGGCTAAGTCGACCTAGGGGAGGCCCAGGACCGGTTCAGATGATCGTCGCTGCTTTTGGCCGTGAGCGTGAATCGAACTCGGGTCGCCGGGGTTCGTAGCGCAGCGCGCTAATCGCTACACCACCGCTCCCCACAACAAGTTACTAAATTGAGATCACACACACACAGGAGAGAAAATCGCTGCTGACTGGCAGAAACATGCCCCGGGTCACTGTTGCAGATGAGACTCTATCCTGGTCTCGGGAGTTCCCACCTAGTTACACAAAATAAACTTGAAATGTACAACAGCAATGAGCCCCTGGATGTTCCTGAAGGTGCCTTTGGTTGTGCTTGAATTCTTTGATCAATCGGTGCGCGCATGTGGCTGTGTGTGGGTGGTTGACCCGAGTTCGATTCCCGCTCACGGTCAACATCAGTGACGATTATCGGAACCGGTGCTGGGTCTCCCCCAGATCGACTCAGCCTCAAATGAGAAACTGGTGCAGTGCGTAAAAAAAAGCATCGCCACTGGGGAGACAAAGGCGGTCGGGCGTGGTGCTGGCCACCCACCCCCTCGTGTGCTGTGCCGGCCTTCATAGGTGCTCGCTAACAGCATTTGCCCCAACAGTCTGTTAAGGCTATACGGGTGATTTTTGTTTTTGTTTATGTAGGATATTTTTCTAATTATTATTATCAATTGCTGTCATTATCACGAACCATTACCGTAATGATCACGTTCACGTGGATGCTGAGTGTGAGGATCGTCAACACGATCGGTTATTGCCCCGAAGAGAGCCCGAGGATGAGAAGGGAGGCAAACAGAAGACGGTCATCCACGAACACCCCACGTGACCGCCACGACCCCACGTGACCGCCACGACACCGCGTGACCACCATGACCCCGCGTGACCGCCACGACCCCGCGTGACCTCCACGTCACCACGTGACCGCCACGGCACCGCGTGACCGCCACGTCACCACGTGACCTCCACGACACCGCGTGACCTCGACGACACCGCGTGACCGCCACGTCACCACGTGACTTCCACGACACCGCGTGACCTCCACGACACCGCGTGACCGCCACGACACCGCGTGACCTCCACAACCCCGCGTGACCTCCACGTCACCACGTGACCGCCACGACCCCACGTGATCGCCACGACACCACGTGACCTCCACGACACCGCATGACCGCCACCACACCGCGTGACCACCACGACACCGCGTGACCGCCACCACACCGCGTGATGGCACCGCATTGAACGCCCCCCTCAAAATTTCGACGTGAATCATGGGGAATCGCGTGGCGCTACGCGGGGACCCAGGGCTCAAACACCCCCCAGCCCCCCCCCACCAGCCCCCCACTCCGCCCCCCAGCGTCTGTCGTTGCAGAGTCGCGCCAGTTTCGGTGGTGGTGGGGCAATGAAGTTCGCTCTCCCGGCTGTCACGCCGGACCTTCCATTGCAGCCGAGTCGGCGACCCGGAGATCATTTTACACCTCGTCCAGCCTCTACCAGCGAGCCCGACAATATATCCGCACCCGGCACACTACATCCAGTATATCTCTCTCGCCATGGCTGTGGCGCGACACAGAAACGCGTGACCCAGAAACATACCGCGCGACATTCCTCCATGCAGTGTACACGCTTGTGACGTGGGCCTCGAGATATCATTGAACGAATGGATTATTGAATCCGTCCGTGCGGACCTTTGGGTGTTACCCACCTCGTGTGAGCGGTGGATTCTCTCCGGTTCCTCTGGTTTTCGACGCTAAGCCGAGCGGCGCAACCCCTTCGTGTGTTGGAGAACGGTCCACGGAAGCGGGTGTCACAGAGCTACCTCCGAGATCCCTCGAGGAGACCTCGAAAGTCCGAGCACCGGAGGGCAGCGCTCTCCCACCCGCTCGCCGCATGACTTTCAAACCGAACCATTTTTTCTTTATTTTTTTAGATCTGGAATTCAAGGCCAAATGAAATGCAGAAGCGAATGCAATGCGACGACTTATTTTCTTTGCAGTCATTGGCGACCGGACTCAGAGCACCAATTCACTACAAATTGAGAACCCGCTTTAATCGCAACTCGGTCTACGCGCGAGAGTCTACGGGACTCCACGCGAGTGAAATGGTGACCGGCCCGAGACCATCGGACCCCTCCGAACTGCGCTTGAGAACGTCGATTCATTGCTGGGCAGCTGGAATCCGGATTCGAACCCGGGGATTTCAGTGGTTGCAGCTCATCGCTCTGACCCCTCCCCCACCCCCGCCGAAGCCACCCTGCTCGCCTCTACCCGATCGTTCTCGACGTTTGGCACGAACGAGGCGGTTCAGACCGCTTCGTGTGATCGCTCGCAAAGGCTGAAAGGCTGCTCCCCCCCCCCCGCACGTGACCACGATGAATGGACACACGCGTGCAAGTGGCAGCAAGGAGGGAATTAATGACCGGCGTCTGGAGCACAATCCGATATTCCGCTGAATCAACACCACCACCAACAACAACAATGACGAAACTTAAATGCAAATCTAAGCCCCAAATCGCCCCCTTTCGTCTGTTCCGTAACAGGAGTTTAATCCCCTCGGCTGCGAGGGTGACATCATTGCTGCTGGCTCTAAGCCCGCGCAGCAACAACAACAGAAATGAGCGTGATGTTGGATTTCCTTTGTTTTGGTATAATCCGGTAAGCATCCCGTATCCTCCGCTTCAGCAATTCCTGGCGGCCACGTAGTGGTACGGGGGGTGAGGGGGTAGACCCCCCCCCTTGTTTAGGCAACACCCTTCGGAATCCTTTCAGTCAAAATGAGCACCATGGCGTCTCGTCAACGTCTCTTCAACGTCTCTTTAACGTCTCTTCAACGTCTCTTCAACACCACCGACTGTACCGTGCCACGCACACACACACACACAGGTTGTGTGCATTCCCCATCCCCCGATCCCGTTAAGCGATGTTCCCCGCTGCCAGACTAAGCCGAGGTGCCGTGTTTATTAGACCCCAGGTCACGATCCACGGGATGGGATGTCGACCCTTGTCCTCTGGCTCCCCGGGCAGTCTGCAGCTCGCTCCTTCTGACCCTCCGCTCGGCCGCTTCCTTCTCCCGGGTGCAAAACCCATACCCTCAGGAGGGCGGGTCCGTCATGCGACCCGGCCATGGCTTTGTGCGTGTGCGTACGTTTAACTTCTTTCGCACCTTACGTAGCCAACCGTGCTAATCGGAGGTGCGGGCGATGGGCAACAAACTAAACACAAAAAAATCAGTTCCAAAGAAATGACTTTGTCAGTCTAGATGATTTTTTTAAAGTGCAAAGCCCCAGTGTCTTCCTAATAATCGGAAGGAAGAGCGTTCCAGACGGCAGCCGAAGCGCATCTGAAAGCGCCGTGCGATGCGGTGACCGTCTTTGTTCGATGGCCAGCCAGACGCCGCTGCTGCGAGGATGAGCGGCTTGACGTCGCTTTCCCAAATCACTGACTCTGTCCACACGGTGGACACTCACGGCGATGTTTGGTAGTCACGTTAACAATGATTTACGACAAAAACACAAACACACACAGACATTTAATTTTCAACGGAACATCATTTAACTTCTTCAAGTTGATTCCATTACCGTTTAAAAAAGTTCCTACGGTATTGTGACACGTGCGCCACCCGTTTCCGCTAAGCTTGTACTATTAATATTTATATTTCTTAAAATATACCATTAAAGTTGTTCAATCTCCAGGATTGCGGTGGTGGCAGTGGTGTTGGTGGTAGCGATGGTGGTAGCGGTGTTAGCAATGGCAGTATTGGGGGTAGTGGTAGCGGTGGTGGTGGTGGTGGTGACAGCGGTGGTGGTGGCGGTGGCAGCAGTGGCAGCGGTGGTGGTGGTGGCGGTAGCGGTGTCATTGTTGGGGGTGGTGGCGGTGGTGGTGGGGGTGGTGGCGGTGGTGGTGGGGGTGGTGGTGGTGGCAATGGCGGTAGTGGTGGTGGCGGCGGTGGTGATGGCGATGGCGGTAGCATTAACGGTGGTGGTAGCGTTGGTAGCAGTGTTAGCAGTGGCAGTGTTGGGGGTGGCGGTGGTGGTGGCGGTGGAGGTGGTGGCGGTAGCAGTATCAGTGGTGGTAGCGTTGGTAGCAGTGTTAGCAGTGGCAGTGTCGGGGGTGGTGGTGGCAGTGGCAGTGGCGGTGGTGGTGGCAGTGGCGGTAGTGGTGGAGGTGGTGGCGGTAGCGGTGGCATTATTGGGGGTGGTGCTAGTGGTAGTGGTGGTGGCAATGGTGGTAGTGGTGGCGGTAGTGGTGGCGCGCCTTGCCTTGTCGCCGTTGGCGTTGCTCCGCGTCGCCTTGCTGCGGGGCAGCCTCGCCTTCACCCAGGCCTCGATGTGCGCGTTGTACTTCATGAAGACGACGTAGGAGGCGTACCCGCCCAACAGCAGCGTGCTCTCCCACCACGCGATGCTGTTGTCGAGGAAGAAGATGATGAGCATGAGCAGGTCGAGCACATAGAAGGAGACGTCGCGGAAGATGGGCCACCAGGTGAGCGTGAGCAGCTCGCGCGAGAACACGGCGCACATGCCGATGACGAAGAGGATGTTGAAGACGGCCGAGCCCACGATGGTGCCGATGCCCACGTTGCTGTGCGAGATGAAGACGCCGATCATCGACGTGAAGAGCTCCGGCGCCGAGCCGCCCGCCGCCATGAAGGTGGCGCCGGCGACGTCGTCCGAGATGGCCAGCTTGTCGGTGATGACGCCGAGCGCGGGCACGAAGAACTCGTCGCACACGATGGCGAGCGCCATGAACATGTACATCATGCCGAGCATGTGGAGCGCCACGGCGCCTCGCCGCCGCTCCTCCAGCGAGAAGATGTCTTGCGGGTACTCGCCCTGCTGGTGCTCGCCGGCGCTGCCGTTGCCGACGCCGGCTCCGTGCCCGCCCTCTCCCCGCGACGAATTTGCCCGCGAGCCGTGCTCCCACGCTACGGACAGGACCCTCCGGCGCGGCGCCGGCCCCGCGTCCCGCCGCTCGCCCTCCGGATCCGGAGACGGGCCGCCGGGGTGACCGTCGGTCGGCAGGGACGTCGGTCGGCGGGGGGCGCCAGCGACGTCCGAGCGGGAGGCGAGCGCCAGCGAGAGCGCGGAGGCGCCCGCGATAGCGACCGCCAGGAAGAGGAGCCGGCGCAGGCGGAACTGGAGACGCCGGCGGAGGCTGCGGTGGCAGCCGCGCGCCGCCATGGGGGCGACCGGCGCGGGGGGCAGCACCGCGAGCGCGGCACGCGAGGGCGCGCGCCAATCACCACCGGCACCAGCTCTAAACGATGACCTCGTGGCGTGACCTCGCTTAAAGCGGGGGAGGGGGAGGGTGGGCACGGCACAGTGAATGTTAAACAAACTTTCAACACAACGCGAAACTTTGAACAGATTTCGCGACGGCACGGTTAATCTGCTTTTGTCTGCCATGCATTCCGCTCTGGCTGTCCGCCCCCCCCCCCCCCCCCCCACAGCCCATCGCGTCACTGCGCTCGATTTTCTGCCAACGATCTTTTTGTCTCAGCTGTAAGAATTTAGCATGAACTTCTTTCGCACCGAACGGAGTCAACCGTGCTAGCAGGGGGGTATGAGGCCCACTCCCCCCACCTCCACCCCTTCCCTCCAGCCCCCCCCGAAATTTATCAGGGGCTGGCGCACAAGTTAACGGTCTCACAGTTGCATGGCAGATGGGGGAAAAAAAATTCCCGTCGACTTGAGGTCATTCCGCTGGTGGGAGGAAGTGCGGCTCTGGCACCTTGCGTGGATATATCGCTAAAACGCTCTCAACTCCGTCAGCTGCTGCTGCTTCTGGGCGGTTTTCGATGATGCTCAAGTCGGTCACACAGAGAACTTTAAATGTGATTTGAAGTGAGGGCAATGAAACTGGATTTTATTTTTCTCCACGTGTAATGTAGCTCTCAGAGACACCGTCTTGTTCAGTTATATGTATATTTATTATGAATAAAGTCTGCCAACTCACTGATAACTTAACGAGTAACCGGGAGTGACTATACACACTTGGGTAACTCAGATAACTCTATTCTGAGACAACGTAACTCGATCCTTCCAAGACGACAAGGTGCCCACTGCAGGATGATGAAGACGACCCGCTCCCAGGTGACGACGGCGACGGCAGTGCCCTCAACAACAGCAGCCCAGAGCCCCGGTTCACGCCGGCTTTTATCCCCCTCACGACCCGGCCACGCCCCTATTCCTGAACCCTCTCTCACCGCACCTGGCCCTGTCTGTCTCTGCCCTTATTACAATTTACGCCCCTCACGCGACCCTGTCAACGCTTGTCGCATCAATCATTATTAGCGACCACTTAGGTCCCACATTACCCCAACGTGACCCTGTCTGTTCCCGTTACGTTAATAAGTAACGGGGAGCCGTACTGTCCCTACATCGCCCCGTACTGTCCTTACATAGTAACAAAACACGACCGTTTAATTTGTGCCGGTATTAATTTATTCCTTTTTCAATGCATTAAGCATTTATTGTAGGAGCGACTTAAATTTTAATCGGTTGTCTACAAATACGTTGATGGTGACGGTAATAATTATAAAAAAAATACGAAAAATGTAAAGCCCTTTGTCAGCCCCATTGCTGGATGGAGGCCCTCCCCATGCCGTGTCGGCCATGCCGGTTGTGTGAACATTCTTCACCACGCTGGCATGGGCGCGAACCAGGACCGCCTCAGATATCACTCGTCGCTGACGTTAACTGTGGCCAGGAATTGAACTCAGGTCCGCCGGGTTCACAGTGAAGTGTGCAAAATCCCTGCGCCACTCTTGTCCTTCCCCACACCTCCGATTAGCACGGTTGGCTACGTACAGTGCAAAATAAGTTCAACATACGTACAGTTTAATACGTAGGCTTTCGTGACCAATATTATCCATAGAGGCTTTTGGATTAGATCGTGTAAATATAAATGTGTCATTAAACCCGCCAATTAGTAAGGTTTGTAACGTAAACAAAAACATGCCAAGTCGTTTTGGTATGTAATTCGTTTTGGCATGTAACGAATTGGCATGTTTTGTTTACGTGACAAACTTTACTAATTGGCTGTGTCGGGTGGTGGCGGGTTTAACGATACGTTTATATATTTATACGATATAACCCAAAAACACCTCTATTATGGATGTATTAAGACAGCGATCACATAAATCGTGATTATTCCATTTAGTTACGCAGGAAAGCCTCACTGAGTCCCAAGACCCATTTCCAGGAGGGTCCTGCATTTAGGATGCTTGGCCCAATTCCATCAAAGGAGCGATTTGCACGTGGGAGGGAAACCGGAGAATCCGGCGGATGCCCCTCACATTCGAGGGTGAAGTAACGGCTTCTCCCTCCGTGGCCGGAGCGATCTTCGTGGTCGAGGGCCTCGTGCCCGGCAAGCGCTCGCTTGCCTCTCTCGCTAAAGTAGCAAATCAGTTAATGAACGGGGATGGACGGATTCATTGACGAGCGCAACTTGGCTCTCGGTAAACAAGTCGCGCCTGATTGAGATGTTCACTGCTCAGACGAGGAATGCGGTGATGATGTGCTGGCAGGCGGACGACGCCGTAAAATGCAGATTAACGCCCCTGTTAATAATTTTTCTCCAAGAGAAAGAGAGAGAGAGAGGAGAGAGAAGGGACCGCTTCGGCGATGTTTCAAAGTGCGCAAAAGCCGGCAGGAAAACAAATAGCAACAACGTACGGATGCCCCAACGGCGATTGCTATGCACGGCGTTGATCTGCCATGAAAACTGTGGTGCTCCATCAACCTCGTTTCAGAACAGCAACAGGTCGCTGCGCTCACCTCTTCCTCCTCCACAAGCGGAGAATTAAAGACAACCCAGGGTGCGACTGCGGCCACCCAAACCAGACAATGGACCACATCGCGAACAACCGCACTCTACGCCCGCTCTCCGGCGGGACTGAGCAGTATTAGTCGCGCCACTCCCGAAGCTTTCGCATGGCTCACAGACTTAAACTTGGACAGACTTGCAACAAGCTAGAGAGAGAGAGCGGTGAGAGGAGAGAGGTGGCTCAAAAAAATGGGGGGGTGGCGGGATATGCATCGCGATGCCGCCCAAGTGCAGCGCATCGCCAGGACGTCTGTGCAAAAGAGCTTCACAGCTCATCGGGTTCCTCCAGTCTAAATAAAGATTCTGATGATTCTGAATGGCCGTGAGAGGAAGGCACTTTTTGTTTAATGCGCATTCGCAGTGGACTATTGGGCTCCGTTACATCGTTCAGAGAGCGTGTGGTACATGCACGAGTCAGGCAAGCTGGTGTATAATGTCCATCAAATACAATGGAATGTCGTCCACTATATAATGCAGTTTAAATACACGAGGTTACATCGTGTAGCATAGGATGGAAATTGAATGCGCGAAATTATATTGTATCGCACATTTGTAGTGTACTAATTCAGAGACACTCGTAGGAGTCTCTCTCTCTCTCTTGTTTATTCCGGCCTTCACAGCCATAGGGGATAACTCCATACCGGGTCAGGACGGCCAACATGCTGCCAGACCCACAGCTCGAAGAGGCGAGGACCACGACCACGGCAGCACGACGAGTTCCACTCCAGATGGCGGCAGCCCCGACTATGAGTCGGAGCGTGGCCAGGTTCCGCTCTCGGCCCCGCACCGCTCTGGATCCTCCAGAAGGCTCCGTGCTTCGCCCACAGGTCCAACTGGTAGAACGGGCTGCTACCCCCAATCACATTGTCGACCAATCTCCCAGCGCCACGCGCTGCAGTGACTCATTCAACGTCACCAGACATTCATATTGTTGTGTAATATATAATATTAAATGCACGAGACTATATTGCGTAGTATATAATGTACGTTAAATGCACGAGACTAAATTGCGTAGTATATAATGTATGTTAAATGCACGAGACTAAATTGCGTAGTATATAATGTATATTAAATGCTCTATAACACCATTGTGGAGTACAATAACGTTCCGGTGCATGTAGATATTTTTTTTCGGACGACTTTAAACACCGAGTGAAAATGGCAGCACAAAATCGGACCCATCGGTTTCACTCCACGGCAAAGTGTTTTTGCCCCCCACCACCCACCTGGACGGCCAATAAATGCAAGAAGATAAACAACAACAATAAGTGCATTTTCTAAAATAATATAAATAGTCCAACAATCACACCTCATTAAACTCCGCCGGTCCAGTTGCAACAAGCGTCCGATGAACGGTGTTGGAGGTTTTTTTTTTTAACTAAACAATTTTTTTTAATGTTAATAGGTTTTTCCCCTTTTTTCTGGCAACAAAATAGGTGTTAAGATGTTAAAGCAGGTCCCATGATATTTTTGATTTACCAGGCAAGGCCCCACTGAGCCACGTAGATCTTTTTCAGAAGCGACCTGGCCCTTACAAATGATAGCTCCACGAAGTGGCTTATCATCACGTGGACATTTATTGCAGCCAAATGCTCTAAACGCGCGACGTTGATTCTGAATGTGGAGGGAAAAACCGGAGGATCTGGCAAAAAAAACACGCGACCACGGGGGAGAGAGACGCAAACTCCAAATATTCAACGGTCGTCAGGGTCGGGATTGAACCCATGGGCTCCTGCATACCATGCAGTGAATGCGACGCACGGCCAGGGACATCGATCGTTCAATTAATCGTGGAATCAGCAACTGTTGACCCCCCCCCCCCCGCCCCGTACGTCCTCGGTAAAAAGAAGCCCTCCCAGTGCCCCAATCATCGCGAGGTGTATTCGGACGCGCGCGCTGTGTTTACAATACGGTGCAAGTGTCCCCGCGTGTGTGTCAGTGCGATTATTGATGACTTTACTCGATGCACTGAAAACGCTGATGTTTTGGATTACGAGATATTCTCCTTTCGTCTGGGTGTCTCAGTAGCGGAACTGTGTAGCAGAGTGCTTCCCAACAATTATATAGAACCCACAAATAAATAAACACGTACTCTGCATGCATTTGATTCGGGAGGGGGGGGGGGGGTTGGGTGGGGAAAGCCACCTGAACTTTGAGGATGTGACAATCCAGTGGCAGTACACACGGTGGCATTTTGAAATTTATAATCACAGCCGCCGGTGAAAATGCATTATAGTTTTGTTTTCCCTACTTGAGTAAATCACCGTCTCGTCGCCACAAAGGCCCCCCACCACCACCACCCCGCCTCCCCCCGGGGTTAAGGCGATATTTACGAGCCACGCCTCGAACCTCGACAAGAACGCCAAAGCATTGCCACGCGACAGGGGGAAAAAAATCCCCCACATGTTTACGGAATTTACGGCAAAGTAACAAAAAACATCTTGCTCCGGGATTAATG